CAGGGTGCATTGCTGCTGTCTTGGAAGCTGCAGCAGCCTGGTTGTGAAGCCCAAGCCACAGGCTGTGTGTGCAGTCTCACTCACCTTGTATAATGCTCTGGCAGAGATGGAGCTCTGGCTCGCTGAAGCAAGTGGTATGTCAAATGCATGGATAGCTTCCAGCTGGCACCCTACCAGCATGGGATTGATCCCTCTGGTCCCATTTCTAGCATCCTCAACACAGCGACTGGACAAAAGTCACGGTGGCATCAGCTCATGGACAGTGTCAGAGCTTGGTTAGAGGACTGGGAGGCAGCACCATGGCCACTGAGCTGTAGCTGGGGGTCTGTCTTGATTTGACTGCTCTCTGACCCGGTATTTGTCTGGGTGCTGTGTTGTAGTCCTGTGGGTAGCTGGCCGAGCCAAGGGGTGGCAGGCCATTTCAGCCTCTCCGCTTGGTGGTCAGGGATGTGTCTGGCAAGCTGGAAAGACATGCGGAAGAGCCAAAGGTGTTGCGTACGTGGGAGAACTGCTGAACAGTACTAACGTTTAATGGAAAGCAAAGTCATGAAAGCTCTGAAATCTAGGTGAATTGGAAGGAAGAGGTAAATCTGACATGGGGGAGCTTTAGGGCTGGGAGACTGTGGGACACGTGTGGGGTATTGGCCTGGGTCTGAGATGATTGCCAGTGTCTTCCTTGCTTCTACTCTCTCAGCTTATTTTCCTACTCCCATCCTTTTTCTGGTCTCTTCAGACCATTAGAGGCACACAGGAACTGTATCTATATGTCAAGATGGTATCTAGCATGGCATAGCCTTGATCTTGATGGGCATCTATAGCGTTCACTGTAATTCAGATAATGATTAACAGTAGGCAAGGGAGGTGTAGATACAATGCCATGTCTCCCAGCCTTTAGTTGGAACACCCCTCTCTTTCCTCTTTGGAGGATCTTGTCTTGCTGGCACAGCTGTGATGTTTTGATGCCCCAAGTGTTTCCTGCCAAAGCCAGTGGGTGACAGACGTCTGAGCATTCATCCTGCCTCTGCATCGAGGAAAGCTACATTTGGCCTTTTTCCCACTTCTTGAAGCAAGTGAGTCTTGCTCTGTCATACTGTCGTTGGCTATTCCTCTACACCGGGGCGCTCAACCTTTTTGGCCAGATGGGCAGTGCCTGATCCCTCTGTGGGCTGGATCCGGCAGGGCCCCATTCAGCTGTGCAGAGAGGGGAGGGAGGCAGCCTGGCTCCAATCCAACTGTGTTTGGTGGGCCCCAACCTGGTCCCATGGTGGGGAAAGGCCATGACTTGGCCCTGATTCAGCCCTGCAGGGGAAGGGGGCATGGCCCTGCCCTGCGGGAAGAAGAGGACATAGCCTGGCCCCAACCTGGCCAGGTGGAGTAGGGGGAGGATTGAGCATGGCCCACCTGAACCAGCAGCACAGTGGAAGGGGGCTAGGCAGAGGGAAGGGGACGTGGCCTGGCCCACATGGAGGGACAAGGGGATGTGGCCCAGCCTCACGGGGAGACGGGGCACAGCCCAGCCTGGCTGCATGGAAGGAAGGGGGCATGGCCTGGCTCCAACCTGGCTGTGTTGGGGTGGTCATTGCCCAGCTCCAACCAGCTGCTCAGGGCTTGGGATTTTGGCAGCGGAGAGGGATGGCAGTATTAACTGGGAGTGCCGCGGGTCAGATTCCAACGTTTTTGTGGGCCTCGTTTGGTCTGCGGACTGGAGGTTGGGCACCTCTCCTCTACACCGCTGTGCTGACACCTTTGTTTACTCTGGACTCTCTTCTAGACAGGAGGACTTCATCGGAACGAGACCTTGGCTTCTGCTTGGGCCTCTCCCTGGGGGCAAACAAGGTTTTGGCCCCTTCACCAATCTAATGCGTCAGATCCCCTTGTTACATCCCATCCTGGGCACAGGCAGCAGAAGGGTTTGGCTATCTGTGCCACTCTCCCTTCCCTCCAGTTGTCTGCTATGTCTCTCTCTGCAAAGGGAAGCTCTGCTCCACTCATTTGGGAAGGCTGAAATACGGTCACACCGCAGAAAGCTTTGTCTGCATGGAGGCGTTAACCAGAGGCTGATGTGAAATGAGTGGTTCAGTTTAGATTAACCTGCTCGTTAAGCAGAGTTTGTTTTGGAGTAAGGGACCCATGTTCCATAATAGAGCGTGCAGACGTATGGCTGTGCTGGTTGACATCCCTGCGGAGATCTAGCCCTGTATGCAAGTGCTCCCCTGATAGTTAGCGTATTATCAACACAATGATAACTGTGGGCATGCCAGTGTCTTGCGTGCCGGGTGGCAGGATTCCTCATTTAAAATAAAAGAGCTCTGCTCTTGTAATGGAGCTTCTGTGCTCCCGCCCCGCACAGAAGCACAGGATTGTCTGTGTGGGCATCAGTGCCGCACACACTAATGTCAAGAGCTGTCAGGCTTTTCAAGCAGAGCGCTGTATCAAGCCCTGAGACGGGGCCTCTGGTGCATCCCTAGTGACAGCAGGTGACATCTGAGTGACGTTTAGCTACGTTAGTTGGGGTTTTTCATGAGAGCTGGAAGCCTGGGTTTGGACCAGAACTGCCCTAGCATGGATACAGTTAAATCCATACAGTTTATTCCCGCCTGGGAAGGGAAACAAGGTACAACTGCCCTTCTGTAGTTGGCAACACAGGTTTAGTTTGAAGGCCAGACCTCGGAGCGGGAGTGGAATTGGAGCGAGACCCGCAAGGAGGTAGAAAGGGACAAAACATTTCCTGCCCACAGCTGTGCACTCCGATGCTGGGGACCAGACAACCATTTCCACGTGCTTGTTCTGTAATGCTTGCGATGCACGATCGACTTTCCTTAAACATGGTCTTTTGTGTTTAAATGGTTACCAACTCTGTCCCCCCACGAAAAACTTGCCCCCCTGAATTGCCTGGGGAGTGAGTGGCAGTCCGCTTGCATTGGCTTAGTGGTGTCATGTGATTCTGCTCTCGCTCAGCATGGCTGTGTCAGCAAAGCTCTGTAGTACAGGGACGTGTGTGGTTTTAAACCCAGTTCTTCCATGGAGGGATGGGGTGCAGAGCCAGGGATATAAGTGCTTTTGAAAAAAGGCAGGCCCTGATGACAAAGCAGACTGAAAATGCTAGGAATATCCCTGCCTCTCCGCCTCCCCAACCAACGTTGCTGACTGACGGGCTTCTGAAATGCCGCCTACAGCAGGTGTCCATTCCGGAGTGGTTTGCGGCCAAGAATGGCTCTGCTGTGCCCCTTCCTGGGAAAAGGCAATGCCGTGTGACAGCGAGTGCAGTCCTCCAGCTTGTGAAGCAAAGGTGCCTCTGTGTACAGCCCTTGGTAAAGGAGCAGGTTTTATCAGACTCGGGGAAGGGCGCAGGGTTCATGCCGGAGCCATGACGTAGCTGACTCGCCTGCAGGGTTCATGCATTTCCATGGGACGTGTGCCTTTTTGCGTGCGCTGCGTATAGATAGGGCTTTTGTTTTAAGGCATGTTCAGCTGCCAAGTGATTTTTGCCCGGGGGTTGCACGAGGGCAGGCGTCAGCCTACCACGCTACCCACGATCCTGCTCTCTAAGCTCATGTGAGTGCTGTCGTTGAACGGACTCAGTGGTGCGGATCCTTGAACCAGGCTTATGAAACAAACCTGTAGAAGGAGCTGGAGCTTTAGGATACTCGGTGGGGGCTGCCAGCTCTGCATCGGGGCAGGAGTGGTGTCTGCCAAAAGTGGCTTACTCTTGTTGGGACCCAGGATGGGAGGAAACTGAACTCTTTTCTTTTACATCCATCTTCCTATTGTGAGGAGCAGGCACTGCAAAGCGACTGTACAAGGGTGTAGGGATGGTGGAAGAGCCCTGCCTTTGAAGGTAGCACCCATTGGATTATAAACTGACTGGTATTTTGCATCTGGAGCAGGGATGGGAACAGGAATCTCCCAAGAGCCAGTCCTGGGGGCTGTTCTGAGTGGCCGATCGCTGTTCCTTTTATGTCCCCTGAAGATGTTGAAAGGGGCAGTCCTTCTCTTGGGCCCTAGTGGGGGAGAGATATATGTGTGCATGTGTGTGGGGTTGTTTGTAGCATCAGCAGTTTAGATGAGGATGTGGAAAGCACACTGGCTAAGTTTGCAGACAATACTAAGTTACGGGGAAAAGCAGTCATGCTTGTGGATCCAGGCGGACCTGGACAAGCTGGAAAGGTGGGTGGAGCAGAACCGGATACAGTTCAATAAGGATAAATGCAGAGTGCTTCATCTGGGGAGAAGGAACTAGCAACATGAATATAGGTTAGGAGATGTCCTGGCCAGTACAATGGCTGAAAGGGACCTTGGGTTTATGGTTGATCACAGGATGAACGTGAGCCACCAGTGCAACACTGTAGTCAACAGAACTAATAGCATACTGAGATGCATAAGTTGATGTGTTGTGAGCAGGGCTAAGGAAGTGATACTTCCTCTCTACTCAATGCTGGTGAGACCCCAGCTGGAGTACTATGTCCAGTTCTGGGTACCGCACTTCAAAAAGGACGTGGAGAATCTTGAAAGGGTCCAGAGAAGGGCCACAAAAATGATTAAGGGCCTGGAGGACAAACCTTATGAGGAACGACTAAGGGGTCTGGGACTGTTCAGCCTGGGGAAGAAGAGATTGGGGGGCGGGATTTGCTGGCTGTCTGTAAGTATGTAAGGGGTGAAAAACTGTTTACTAGGGCACCCCGGGGGAGGACAAGGAGCAATGGCCATAAACTAAAGAGGATGGTTTCAGGTTGGATGTAAGAAATAACTTCTTTACGGTAAGAGTAACCAGAATCTGGAATAGATTTCCCAAGAAGGTGGTACAGTCCCCAGCTTTGGAAGTCTTCAAGAGGAGACTGGACAGTCACCTTGCTGGGATCATTTGATCTCAGTAGTATTCCTGCCGAGCCGGGGAGGGGTTGGACTCGATCTTTTGAGGTCCCTTCCAGCCCTTAATTTTTATGAGTCTATGATCTCTCCACACCTGGTGCTGACATGGATATGTTCCCACTCTGTTTCAGCGATGTCCTTGCCTTGCCTATCTTTAAGCAAGAGGAATCGAATCTGCCTCCCGAGAATGAGAATAAGATCCTGCCTTTCCAATACGTGCTGTGCGCAGCCACATCCCCCGCTGTGAAGCTCCATGATGAGACACTTACCTATCTCAACCAAGGTGATGTTGCCTGAGGACTGGTGGCAATGGGCTCGGGGGTGCACACTGGTTTATGGAAGCCTCCAACTCTCTTAGCCCTAAATGTTGTTCTTGACATTCACCTTCTCTGGCTAACCCAACTCTGTCCTGAATCCCAAGCTGCTTCCAGCCACCCTCTCCAGCCTTTTCACTTCCCTTCTACCTGCCTCCCCCCACGTTCGGATATGGTTGCAGATGCTGCCTGTGGGCTGGCCTGTCTTTTGCATGCTGTATAATTTAATGCAGGTTGTGTAGCAGGTTTATTTCCTATCTTAGCTGACACATCAAACCCATGTCCTGTTCTCCTTGCAACAGCCCTCCTCTCTGAGTGCTCTTGGGGCTGGCTGTGTAGGGGGTAGGCTACATCCAGACATACATGCTGTTGTAAGCCCTGCAGCGTGTACCTTAGGAGAGAAATTCCACGCACCAAGTAGTGGATGAGCTCTTTGGAAGGTCAGGGCAACCAAATTGAAGCCCCCATGCAACAGGTCTCCTCCTGTTTTGTGTTTGCACATGTCTGATGTCGGTTAGTGTAGATGATTCCTAGAAAACTCTATCATGGCTCACTGGAAAGGACAGGGATGTTTATTCCCTGTTGCTAACATCACAGCAGTATCTGTCTTGTGACCTGATACCTGATCAACTCGTGTCACTTAGACCGCTTATCAGTTCCTTTGCTGACCTATTAAATGGCAAGCCAAATGCCAGAGAAGAGGAGTGAAGCCTGCATATGCCTAACAGCATTGGGCCTTTTCTCTCCCAGGTCAGTCATATGAGATCCGGATGCTGGATAATAGGAAAATTGGGGAGCTACCTGAGATCAACGGGAAGCTGGTGAAGGTAAGGGATGTGGATCAGGGGCAACCTGGATGTGCAGTATAGCTAGGTTGGCCCAGCCTGGCCCAGGCCACTGCATGCCCTACAGTCAAAGTCCCCTGAGCAGAGGGACTTCTAGGAGCTGTGGGGTGTTTTGTGTCAGCAGCCTGGACCATGTACTCTCCTGGAAGCATGGGTTTAACTGGCTTTCTTGGCTTCCCAGGGTGCCAATGCCAAAGAAATCTTGGGGTCTCAGCAGAGAACCTGTTGCCAGTGCTTGAGTTTCTCAGGCTCGGAGATGCTGAGAGGGGGCCCAGAGTTGTGTGGGAGCTATCTCTGAAAGTACGTGTGCTTGAGGGTGGGAGACTAGGGGTCTCTGGAGCAGTTTTGTACATGGGAAATGCTGGGATAGTCCTCACCATGTAGGCCCTTGCAGGCTTTTAGCCCCTTTGGCCTTCACAGGAAGCTCTGGGTGTCCCTTGTTCCCCCTGTGCTTTCATTTATTGAGCTGGGGATACTGCTTGAGGATAATTGAGCATCTCAGCGCTGGTTGCAGAACTCCACATGCCCTGACTTTCTGTTCTCTCAGAGTATATTTCGCGTGGTATTCCATGACCGGCGGCTGCAGTACACGGAGCACCAGCAGCTGGAGGGATGGAGGTGGAACAGGCCGGGAGACCGGATCCTGGATATCGGTGAGCATCTGCATTGGCTGGGTAGCATGGGAAAGGTAGGACAGGACAGAGTTTGGCTTGGGAACTGCTCCAGCAAGGATGGACCTCGCATATGCCTAGAATAGCTTGGAAATCATTCAAGACATGGAACGGTGGGGAGGGGGAAGGAGCAGGGAGTAACAGTTCCCAGCCCATCAGATAAAGGGTGGATTCTTGCTTTGGCTCGGCCTTGTGAATGAAGCTGGCTCGTCTGTCTGTAGAACAAGGCTGCCGTATTTGCACGCGCAATCATTTTGGAATAGAAAAGTGGAATAGAAATTTAGCAACGCTGCTAAAGCTGTTGAGGGCTGGATTCTGTCCTACTTAGGCACATAAATGAACTTGTGCACCTACATGCGCTGCTGTTCCACCTCTCTTGTGTCCCTGGCAAACAGCTAATGTCATAGGTGGATGGGCCTTTCTCTTCCTCACTGCTTCTTTGTGACCTAGTCTTACAGGTGGGGTGACCATGCAGTCCTACAGTGAATACATTAATGGATTTTCAGGGACTTGACCAGGGTGGAGTAGGATCACACTTAAGTACCCCCTAAGTGGAGTAGAACCTGGCTCTGAGTCTTTGAAATGGTTAAGATATACCTTGTAACCTATCTCCAGCAGAGACCATGTCTCCAGTGCACCGGTTTTCACCACCCTTTTGCCCCCATGCTGTGCTTTCTCTCCTCCTGTCCCCACTGGGTGCATGTGAGGCCAGAGGTATATAACAGGGCTGGAAATGGGGGAGCTTGCCTAGCTTTGCCTCCCTCCAGCCCAGCTCTCTAGGCTCTTGATTCGTATTTGAGTGTCAAACTTCAAGGAAAAATGAACTCCTCTTGATGGAGTCATGGTGGCAAAATACAGGCAGTGCATTTGTGACCAGACTTTCACTAGCACCGTCACGTGCTCGGCCTATGACGCTTCCTTGGGCTCGTTCTAACTAGATGTGTCCTGCATCTGCAGATATCCCCATGTCAGTGGGTATCATAGACCCCCGGGCCAATCCCACGCAGCTAAACACGGTGGAGTTCCTCTGGGATCCTTCCAAGAGGACTTCAGTCTTCATCCAGGTAGGACGAGTACCATGGAGAAACTCTTAGGGCCTGTCTTGGGGATCTGGAGAGGGAGAGAGGAGGTTGTAGGTAAAAGCAAGTCTCTTCCAGCTCAGCATGTGGGAACAGCAGCCAGCTGTGATGGGACAGGGGCAGGCCTTCCCCGGAAACAGTGCGCAAGGGCGGCATTGTCTTCCCAGCCCATAGAAGTGCAGCAGACAGTGAAATTACTCGTGTGTTCACGAGCCATTGGAGCCAGACTTCCAAAGGCGTTTGAGAATCAAGCAGGCTTTTTAAAAGCATATTGTGCCTAATTTAAGTGCTTTTGAAAAATCGCATGAGACACCTGTATTCAGTGCTTGTGATTTTCAGTAAGACGTGGGCACTCAGCTTGCTTGAGCTCTTGAAGAGCCCAAGTCTTGGAAAAACCTGGTCCTTTGGTGCCTAGCATGGCTGGAAAAATGGGAAGGGAGAAATCTCCTGGCTGTTGGTCTCAGTGAACCGTGAGACACCTGAAACAGCAGCAGGTTGCAAAATTTGTTCCTAGGACATGATTTCCCTTGGTCTCCCACCAAGCTGGGGGTCTCCCTTCAGCATTGATGGAGATGGTATGTGCTGCCTTTCCCATGCTTCAGCGTCCCAGCGAAACCGGCCCGGTGTCCCCAGTTGAGTGTGAGGCATTGGGTGGGAGTGTGCATTGCCTGTGCTTGTGGCCCAGTCTTGGAGCTTCCTTCACGTTGCGCCTTGCTGGTCCTTTGCAGGTGCACTGCATCAGCACAGAGTTCACCATGCGGAAGCACGGGGGTGAGAAGGGTGTGCCCTTCCGGGTCCAGATCGACACCTTCAAAGAGAACGAGAATGGGGAGTACACAGAGCACCTGCACTCTGCCAGCTGCCAGATCAAAGTCTTCAAGGTACTGTGTGCGCTGGCGGGAGGGGGGAGAGCTTGGTAGTTGGAGCCAAACCCAAACTCCCCACTTCCCCTTCACAGATCAAACTGGGAACTGTCTCTAGCTGCCTCTAGTGAAGGTCACTACTGTAGGATGATGGCCTCGCTCTTGCATGCAACCAAAATACCCCATTGCTTCTCTCGCTTTGTGTGCCAGCCTGTCAGAAACATTGGCAGGCTGGTAAGCAGCCCTAGATGCTGCTGTGACTGGCAGATCCAATAGTCAAAGTTTCCATGATGGGAACCCAGTGGGCCCTGCCTCTGACCTCCAGTCCTTGATCTGCAGTAAGTTCCCTTCCCTCCCACCCCTTTTTGGATTGCGGCTCAGTGGAAAGCTAAGGGGAGGGCTGCAAGGGCTACTGCAGGTGTTTAGCCTCTGGTGTGAGGCCCAGGCAGAGATTCAATTGGAAGTTTGATGGCAGCATAAACCAGGTGCAGAAAGGGCTGGGCAGGGCCTCTAACTTCTGAGAGTGTCTGGAGCAGGGTAACATCAAAGCTTCATTGTGGTCACCAAGGAAGGCTGCCTGCCCCCAGATATACATGGCACAGGCAGCATTCAGTTCATGTCCTGAAGAACCTCTGCAAAACCCTGACCAACTTCATCCCTTCCCTAGCTTTCAGGGCAGAGCTCAGCTCAGGGAGCTGTGGGACAGTATGCTCTAGTTGTGAGGGGGAATGGACTGGGACTTGAGACCCAAGGGCCTTGGTCCCTGCCTTGCCACTTGCTTGCTGTAACCTGGGGCAACTCTCTGGACCAGTTTCTCCTCCTACGCCTATCCTGCTTACGAGCTGTTCTTCAGCAGACAGACTTCTGCAGTGTGTAGCACCTGGCACGACTCGGCACACATCCTTCACCCTGCCCTATTCCAAGCTGTGGGGGGCTGTCTGTGGCTGTGAAAAGATCAGGGGCCAGATTGTTGGACGTTTCCCTCTGCATTCCTTCAGCCCTTCAGTTCTTTATGCCAGTGGTCATGTTAAAGGGGACAAAGCATCCCCATGGGGCCCCAGGGAGACCTGCTCTCTTGACCAGGAGCCCTGCTCATCAGACATTCAATCTGCGAGGGTGGAGGCATAATCCCCAGTGACTTGCTTGCCTCGTGCCCTCGGAGCTACCTGGCACTGAAATGAGTCATAATTGCTGAATGTTAAGAACGCCCACTCTCCCCATTGCCTGCCTGTGCAGAGGCATCGCTTCAGAATAGCATGTTAATTGCTGTTTATCCTGCAAACAGTCTCTACATGCTGGGAGTTCGGAGCTGAGGGGTCAGCATGGAGCAATGCCTGAATTTCCCTTCCCCACCAGAGCCGACTGGAGCTCTGTGAGCCAGAGACATTGGCAGGACCTCCTGCCTGGATGGCATCAGCTGCTCATGAGATACAGCCACTCTACCTGTAGCATGAGCATTGTTCAGGCTACAGATCCTGTGAGTGCACCCATGTCTGTGAGGGAGTGTTTCCCAGGAGGCTAAGCATGGATGGGCCTTGGCTTGTGTTGCTGTGTTTCGTAAGTGGCTCCTCAGAACCGATATCAGCTCCGCTCCCTGCCTAGAGTTTGGGTTCTGTCAAGAGTCTTCACAAACACCAGGTGACGCGGGGGCCAGACTAATCTGTCTAAAATCAGCTAATGTCATCCTTGCTTTTCCCAGCCTCTTACAAGTTAGAAGCAGAAGGCTGCTCTCAGCATTCCCAGCTTGGGCAGGACACATGCTACAGGTGGAATGGATGGAGACCCTTCAAGGCTTTGCTTGTGCCATGGAAGTCAAACTCATCCGGCCCCATGGACTAGATGAGGGTTCTTGGACCAGTGTGTGGGCCACATCAGGACTGGCTCTGTGCCACGAGCAGTGTCTGCAGCTCTGGGTCCAGACTGCAAGCAGCACGTGCTCAGCCCACTCTGGGACTTGCGCTGCATGTAGCATGCAGGCTGGACCTGGTGCTGCACACAGTACAGGGGGTCTGAGATGCAGGCTGCTTCAAAACAGCCTGATCCAGACTGGCCCTGGAGCCAGCACAGAGATCTGGACTGGTGGAGGCAGCACATGCCCTAGATTATCCCCTGTATTGCATGCAGCGTGTGGTGCTGGGGTCAGTGCATGTCCGATACAGTGTGTGGGATCAATCCAGAGACCCACAGGCTGGATCCTATAGCTCCACAGGCTGCATGTTTGACACTTCTGGCCTATGCCAAGGGAATTTGCACCATTGCAATTACTCTGCTGTGTCACAGCAGCACACACCCTGGTTTTAGCTACCAAGCACGGTTTGTCCTTCTTGGTTTCCTTCAGCATATGTCCCACCTTTTGTGGATGCTGTCTTTTTATAGCCATGCACCAGCATCCACAAAAGGTGGGACATATGCTGAAGGAAACCAAGAGGGGCAAATCCTGCTTGGTAGCTAAACCATGGTGTATGGCTGGTATAAATGTCTGGACTGCAGGCAAGACTTTAAAGCCACCATCTTGAGGGAAGTGAGTTAGAACCTTTACATTCAAGGGCACTTGGAAGGACATTGGAGTCTTTTTTTTATTGTCTGACACAGTGAATCTCAACCAGGGTGCCATGGCACCTTGGGTGCCTTGAGATCCTTTCAAGGGTGCCTTGCAGTGTTAGCACTGCTAGATGTGCAAACGTGATTCTTAAGATAAACCCAGGGATTTCAAATAGGAATCCATAGTGTTAAAAAGATTCTGACCTGTCGTGGCCTTGCTAAGTTCTTTGCAACAAAGGAATTGCTATGATTTTTCTGTTGTCAAAAAAACCGGGTGACATTTTCTGAGGTGGGCTTTGAGTCTAATGAGTGGTGTCTTAATCCAAACAGGGGGTCCCTTGCATCTAAAAATGTTGAGAACTACTGGTCTTGCAACTTCCACTTAAACATTCTCTGTGGCTGTAGGGGACAGGAATAGGAGCAATGGCGTCAAACTGCAGCAGAGGAATTTTAGGTTGGAGATTAGGAAGAATTGTCTGACTGAGGGTGGTCAGAGATTGGAGCAGGCTACCTAGAGAAGCTGTGGAATCTCCATCCCTGGAAACCTTTCAGAGCAGGTTAGACAGACACCCTCGTTGGGATGGTCTCGCCAGGCATGATCCTGCCTTGAACAGAGGACTACCTAGATGACCTTGTGAGTTCCCTTCCAGTCCTAAATTTTGGATGATCCTATGATCTTTCTGCCATGCATAAGACAGTAGAACTCTATAGGGAGCCCAGGTCTCAGTGTGTCCTAACTGTCTGGGTTGAGATATTTAACTTAAATAGTCACTTATTTTTAGCAGCCCATACCAATCCTGTCACATTCATCTGATAAAAATCTCTAGGAGCTTGTGTAGTTTTTTTCAGTGATGTGCGGGCAGGGCAGTGAAACGAGTTTTTCATGTTTACCTTCTAATCCCGTAAAAAAAACCAACCTGAAATACCCTGTTGAAATCTCAACAGGGAAGGAGCTTAATGCCCCCAGAAACTTGGTGGCCTGTTTTGAAGTCACTGCTGATGCAGCACTTGGACCAGTGCCCCCAGTGAAGTACTCTTGCGTTGGCAAGGCACTCTGACAGCTGGCTGCAGAGGCCAGCTCTTTCCCATCACTAACTCACTCAGCAGTCTGTCCAAGCAGAGAAGCCCATGGAGAATTATTCCCTTAAATGATTCCAAGTCTAGCATTAAACTCATCTAGAGATGGCTCTTTGAGGAAGTGGTGGAAGCCCCACGTAGTATTAGCCGTGGTGATGCCCAGTTCTTACGTACGTTATTATAACAGAGGAGTAAGTACTCTCTCCATCTTGTCAGTGGGGAAACTGAGGCACAGAGGAGTCTTGTGACTTGCAGAAGAAGGTCACTAGCAGAGCTGGCATTTGAACCTAAGTCTTTCAAGTTGCAGTCCAGTGCTCCAGCTAATAGAACAGGGGTGGCCAACGTGTGGCCTGTGTATGTAGCAGGTGGGGGAAGGGACAGGAAACATGATGGCAAATAGGGCAGGGAGCAAAAAGCAGAGCAGCAGATAGACCAGGAGCACAGGGCAGGGAGCAGAACGCAAAGCATCAGATCAGGCAGGGGAAGGGATCAGAGTGGCACTTGGGAGGATACAGGAGTAATTTGTGGCATGCCTGCACTAGAAGATGGCCACTTCTCAAAGAAACACTTGATCATGCTACAAAAGGCTTGACCTACATCAGCTAAAGAGCCATGGCCATCCATTCATCTCTGTTTGCCTCTGTGGTATGGAAACCTGGTTTGCTCCATTAAAATCAAGGCTTGTGGTCTCCTGGCTTAAATCCATGCTGAGTTTTCTGCTGAAAAAGGTCTCGCTTCCTAATTAGGGTGTTCTGAATTTTAGGGACTTTTTTAGAGGTTGGTGCCACTTGGTACCAGCTGTTAATATTCACATCTCTGCTAGGAAGATCACTTATCCTTTTTAATTCTGGTTCCCAGGCACCTTTCTCCCCAACCCCACGGCGATGTCTGGGAGTAACGTCCAAGAGTTCCAAGTTCCTTGTCAGCTTTTGTTTCTGTTTCTGTGCTGCCGGTATCAGTCCAGCTTTCTTCCTGCCAGGTGTTTTCATGCTTTAACAAACGGTGTCCTCTCTGCAGCCCAAAGGAGCAGACCGGAAGCAGAAGACAGACAGGGAGAAAATGGAGAAGCGAACACCCCACGAGAAGGAGAAATACCAGCCTTCCTATGAGACTACGATACTCACAGAGGTAGCTGGCACTTTTGTAAGCAGCAGGCTCTGAGAGCCTGTCTTTCACCAGATGGGCTTTCTTATCTCAGTGGTGGGTGACAAGGTGCCCAAGACACCTCCCTGCTAACTGAAATACTGGGAAGATTTTTCGGTGCTGGGCCACCCAGGGGTGGAGCGTGATAAATAGCTGGCTGGAGAGAGAACTGTTAACCTGTCAGTGATAGGGAGGGATTCTTTGGATGGTGGTTCTAACTCTCCTAGGAAATCCTTCCATAGACTAGCTTGTGGATCTGCATAGAGCAAATCCTGGGGTATTCACCAATTTGAATTTGGGAACAGGCTGTTTTATACACTCGGACTCTTTGCAGCTGGTCCAGTCTGAGCACGTTCAGCATACACACACAATGTCCAGGTCGTGTGGTTTGAAGCCAAGAGCTTGCTGAATTGAACCTTGGGTTTAGAGGCCCTCCACTAGCCGTTGGGTTCTGTCTTCTCCCTGTAAGATGAAATGTAGCGGCAGACTGGTTTGGTATGCGGCCTGCTGCTTGGAATAAACCTGTTCTGCAGGAAACAGGGCTAGTCTATATTTAACGGAGAGCAGATGATAATTACGCCCCAGTCCCTGAAGACAGCCCGAGAGCTAAATCCAGAGAGACTGATTTATTTTTCCAGGTTAAAAACAATGCCGTGACTTGTTTGGGTTTTCATTCCTAGTGCTCGCCATGGCCAGAGATCACCTATGTCAATAATGCGCCATCCCCTGGCTTTAACAGCTCCCACAGCAGCTTCTCCATTGGCGAAGGGTAGGTCTGGGCAAGGATAGCAGCTTGGCCTGTCATCCTCAGCTTCCATGACAGAGTGATGTGCCTGAACTATCAGGTGGCTGCTGAAAGCCATCGTGTGAGGACACAACCCAGTGGCAAAAATAGCAGCCCCTGGAGGTGGACCACTGTCCTTCCTCATCCCTTGGACACAGCAAACCTTGCATCGCCTTGAGCGATGAACAGGCATTGGTATAGCTGTTCATTCTGTGTCCAGGCTCCTGCCTGCTCCTCCCAGCCTTCCCCTGTCATAGCACTGCTCTTATGCAATGCCAGCCTGGCAGAGCCTCCAGCGCCATGGCAGTTGTATTGATGCAGTTATGTTACGGCTTGTTATTAGCCATACCTCTAGGCTCCTGAATCGGTTTTGACACGCAGGAGGGCATGAAGCAGAGTAATGTCTCTGGCACCTTGATCAGTATATTTAAAAGGGGGTCAGTTTGAGCTGGGATTTTGCGCTGGAGAAGCTGGGAGGTGGGGAGAGCTGCTCTGACCAAGTGTTCTGTTCTCTCCCTCCATCTAGCAATGGCTCTCCAAACCATCAGCCCGAGCCACCCCCTCCAATCACGGATGTAAGTTCTGTTTCAAATCTTCCACTTGCACTGAGCATTTTAGTCCCATCCTTTCTTCTCTTCCTGTGGTTGGGAATTCCTTGGTGGCCAGGGTTCTGTATTTAGGACTTGCTATGCTTCAGGAGGTCTGTGCCTCAGGTCTTGCTAGCCATCCCTTCAAATAAACGTAAAATTTGAGGGTCAGAAGACGCCATCTAATTTAATCCACCTCCCTCTGTAACAGGTTAGACCCCCTATTCTCGAATTTTCCACATGAAGTCTAAAATGTCCTCCTCATTTGGATCCCATGTGGCCAATGAGGTTTGCAGAGCAGTGATTCTCAACCTTTTAAAACTCAAGGCTTCTTCCTTGGAAAATACCAGCTTTTGGCTTTGACTCATTCTGTTACAAAGACTTTGGAGAGAGCACAACAAGGGAAAATGTTTTTGATGCTGTCGTTTCCTATTTGAAATCTCTGGGTTTATCTTGTGACTTATTTAGGTGCTTGCATACCACAGAGCTAATACTGAGCAGCACCCCAGGGTGCCGTAGCACCCAGCTGAAAGAAACATCTGTACAGTGGTGCATGCAAAACCCTTGGGCATGCCTGTGTAGCTGGCAGGTTGGCACATTTCTGTTTGTGGGGCCAGCCAGAATTGCCTATAGCTTCCTTCCCTCATGATGTTCATTCCTTTTACATAGACGGTAACTTTCCAGACCTGGGTTCAGTTTTGCTCCATGTGGGTTCCCAGCATGGTGACTTACCACTCCTCTAAAACAGATCATAAATAAGCTAGCTCCTTCAGAGGAAGGAGCTTGCACGTACCCTTTAAAGACATAACCATTCTGTTCCTCTGTCACAGAACCTCCTGCCCACAAGTACGCCCCAGGAGGCTCAGCAGTGGCTGCATCGGAACCGCTTCTCCACATTCTCACGACTCTTCACAAACTTCTCAGGTAGGCACGAAAAGCCTTTCCCAGCCGCTCCCTGCCTGTTCCCAGTTTCTCTGCTGTAACCCTCACGAGGACTGGACAACCAGTTTTTCTTCCTAACACAGGTTAGACGTGCCACTCCAAAGCCTGCTCACCCCACTCTGTAATGGCTTGCAGCATCCATTACTGACTGTTACCATTCCCACGTGCTCTGTTTTAATGCAGTCTACAAAACTTGCTGTCGTGCGTAAATGATTTTTCCTGTCTGTTTTCCCTGCACTCATGATCTGTCATCCCCTCCTCACTTTGCCTCCCAGGTGCAGACTTACTGAAGCTGACAAGAGAAGATGTTATCCAGATCTGTGGTCCGGCAGATGGCATCCGGCTCTTCAATGCATTGAAGGGACGGTGCGTAACATGTTGTTGGGGCTGAGAATAGACTTGTTAATGCTCCCCAAAGTAATGAGAATGGGATTCCTGCTTCTCTGACACTTGGTGCCTTTCTGCCTTCCTGCCTAGTGCCTCATTAAAGCAGAAGCAGGAAAACTTTTGTGACATAACAGGAGAAAAAATTGTCATTGGGTGCCTGACGTTGGTTCCAAATCCTGCAGGGAAAAGCAAGGCTTTCTCCCAATTTGAAAAGCCTGGCACAGTTAGCTGCAAAATGCTTCAGCATAGCAAAAGCAAAGCGGAAAAAAATGTCCCCAAGACAACGTAAGGTGTTTGTTGTGGGAGACTCCCTCCTGAGGGGGACTGAGGGGCCAATCTGCCACCCCGACCCCTTAGCCCGGCAAGTCTGCTGCTTCCCGGGGGCCCACATCCGGGACATTACGGAGAGGATCCCAAAGCTCCTTAAACCCACAGACCACTATCCCATGCTCCTTATTCATGTGGGCACCAATGACACTGCTCGGAGCACTCCCAGCCAGGTCATGAGGCGCTACAGGGATTTGGGAGCGGGGCTTAAGGGTCTGGGGGCACAGGTAGTGTTCTCGTCAATCCTCCCAGTCTCAGGCTATGGGCTGAGAAGGGACAGGAGGATCTATGTGGTCAACCAAAGACTGCAGCGCTGGTGTCGTCAGGAAGGCTTTGGCTTTCATGACCACAGCCCGCTCTTTGGCGAGAGAGGAGAATCTGTCTCCGCACGACAGCCAGAATTAACACAGAGATTGAGAGAAAGCTAAGCTGTCCTACCCGTATCGTTTATTATTTTTAGCATTTCTAAATAAGCAGCCAACAAGGAAGTGGAGAAATGTAAGCAAAAGCAATAATGAATCAGGACTACGTAAGAGTGCATACATGAAAAATAACTGAGAATTAAGAGTGCTACAAGATTTTTTTAAATTGCATATGGTAATGTAAGGGTTTTTTTAAATGTTCTTTGTTATACCAAGGCAGGGGCAAAGGCAAAAGAGAGGGTAGCAGTGTGTATTCAAAGTTGTGCTGTTTTCCACTCTCTCAAGGACGGCTTTGCTACCCTCCTACACTGGGCAGTGCTACAGTCAGAGTGATGAGTGTCTGTGTTTTCTGCCTGTCAGCAAAGGTGGATCAGGCCTGCATGACCTCAGCAGCTTGCTAGGCCACAGCCAGGAAGGTTTGAATAGCCCCATAGAAAAGTCCAGCGTGACCCACTGCTGACACAGGCAAATCTTTGGGCCTGAACGCAGAGCATCCTGGTTCTCTCTCCGATACAGCTCTGAGCATGGTGGGTTCCTAGCATTACTAAAGAAGATCGCACTTGTTCTTGCACACAAGGTGCAATTCTTTTCCGATGCAGAGTGGAGTGCCACTTGAAGATGAGCCAAGGTACTGTAAAGAGCTGTATCTCTCCCTCATCTGTCTTGCTTCCTTTTTGGGAATGTCACGAATGAATACCCTAAAAGAATTCAGCTTTGTTCTTCCAACCAGCTGTTGCTCAGCTGGAATACTGCAATTGTGAAATCTGCCCTGGAAAATGTGTATTTGTTTTGCTCTGCTTTGTTTTGTCATCTGCCGAAGTAGGAATGCTCCTTTTCATTCTGTGATGGTTGAAAAGAGGGGCTTGGTGTTGGTGTTATATAGCATAATTAGGAATTATCTATATATGTAATGCTGCCTAAGAACTAATTCAGCAAGACCTCTGTTTCCAGAACGCCTATGAGAAGTACACGAATATACAGAATTGAGCTATAAGGTGGAAAACCCTTCCAGATGGGGACTTGTATTTTTTAATATGTAAAGCATTTAGTGACTTTTGAGTGCTATATAAATACCAAATAGCACAGAAAAGATACAAATGGCACGCAACCGACTGTCAGTGCAGCAAATTAAGCTTCTGTTTATAGCAGGAGTGTAAATATAGGGTTAACGGTTAATTCATTTAATGATGAATGTGACACCACTGTGTTATCCTGTAAGAACGTGAATAGAGATTTGCAGCAGACAACATGCTGTGAGCCCAAAAGAATAGGAAACTACTGCCTGCTTTTTTTAAAACTATTGCAAAATGTGGACACAATACTTGGACATAATAGACTGTGTCTGACAACATTTGTACAGTATGTAGCGGAGTGAGCCCCACTCAGCTTCCTATAGTTATCCATATATAGTGACTAAAATTGCAGACACTGAATTAACTCTGAATAACATATGAGCTGGAGTGACAGCCTTCATGTGGTTCTAGAAGGATGAGAATAAGATAGATGGCTGTTTGTGTAGATGTACTAAACTGCAAATCCAGGGGTCCATAGAGTATGGAAAATATGCCAAAAGCTGGGTTGTCCCTTCCATCCCACAGACCCCATTGATTTCCTGCAGGGCAGGAATCCCCCCTTGCAGAGCAGCTTGCAAGATCAGGGTAAATCCATTTCTAGTAACAGACTTTCTCACGCACCCTACCCACTACATTCACGTTTCTCCACTTAGCCCACCTTGGCATCCTTCTGAACCCTGTTATTTTTCAAAACTATTTGGAGAATAGAGAGTGAGTTCTGAATGCCAGCAAGCAACTCTGCCTCTACTGAACCAAGCGGAGAAAGCAGTTGCACTTGAATTTCCCAATTGCCAATTCTCCTTTTTCCTTTCTAACACCAGAATGGAAAGAGCTTTTAGCAAAACTCTCTCTCTAACTTTAGCGGCTGCTCCAGTACCATATAAGGAGACGGGCCATTTCCAAGATCCAAAATATTGAGGGTTTCAGGAGGTTGAGAAAATGGCGAGTTCATATTTATACAGAAACAAGTGGTATGTCAATCCAAATCACAGAACCCGTGCAAAATGCACTCTCTGACAGGAACGCCGCTAAGCAGCGGCGTTCAGCGCCTCGTTTTTAGGCAATCGTCAGGTAAAGCTCCATCTAGAATAGATTGAACTAAAGCAAGATGACAGGAACTGGGAACCCCCAAATCCGAAAGAAATAGCTTTAGGGATGAAAAAGGAGAGTGTGTAAATAGCAAAAGTAGAGGTACCACATTTTGGAGCCAATTGCTTTAGAGAATAAGTGTGTTTTTAAAAACGGATTAAAATAGATTTCTGCAATGGAGGAGCAGGGAGTGCACAAACATTTTTATTTTTGCTCTCAAGCAAATCCCGGGACGTCATTCTCCCCCTGTACTCGGCCTTAGTGAGGCCGCAGCTGGAGTACTGTGTCCAGTTTTGGGCTCCACAATTCAAAAAGGATGTGGAGAAGCTTGAGAGAGTCCAGAGAAGAGCCACGCGCATGATCAGAGGTCAGGGAAGCAGACCCTACGATGACAGGCTGAGAGCCCTGGGGCTCTTTAGCCTGAAAAAGCGCAGGCTCAGGGGTGATCTGATGGCCACCTACAAGTTTATCAGGGGTGACCACCAGCATCTGGGGGAACGTTTGTTCACCAGAGCGCCCCAAGGGATGACGAGGTCGAATGGTCACAAACTACTTCAAGATCGTTTCAGGCTGGACATAAGGAAGAACTTCTTTACTGTCCGAGCCCCCAAGGTCTGGAACAGCCTGCCACCGGAGGTGGTTCAAGCGCCTTCATTGAACACCTTCAAGATGAGACTGGATGCTTATCTTGCTGGGATCCTATGACCCCAGCTGACTTCCTGCCCTTTGGGCGGGGGCCTGGACTCGATGATCTTCCGAGGTCCCTTCCAGCCCTGATGTCTATGAAATCAAAGACCAAGTCATTTGGGGAAATTAACTGGCTTTAACCCTTTGGAGCCAAGTTCAAGTTCAAATCCAAGTTCGTGGGTGTTGCTTAGGTCAGATGACCCACTTAATTTTTTTCACAACCTTTCTTCCTCTGCATTAGTGTGGGGTAGCAAGAAAGGAGGATAACATAATTCAACAGGAACTTCAGGGGTGTTCTTTGGATCGAAACGGGCTGTTGGGTAGTCATAATAAAAATAGGCATCAGAGATTCCTGGCAGTGCAGGTGATTAGAGAAGTCACTTCATGTAAAGGAAAGTTTGGACTGTTTTAGAGAGGAGGCAAAAGGCGCAAGCCATGTTGAGTACTGGGCATGGAGAACATGAAGAGGAGTGTCTGACTTATCCGTCCTTGTAATACAGGATAAGGGGGTGTATAGGGAGATGCAAGGCAGCAAACACAGAACAGGTAGAAGTAAAGAGATTTGTTCTAAATGTGTGATTTGCCTACAGCACTTGTTGCTGTGAGATGCTATTAAAGGCAGAGGCTCGGTAGACTTCGAAGGAGAATATGTGGACGTTTTAATGTGGTTAGTAAAGCCACATATGCAAGTGTACCAAGGACATGCTCTTACAGTTTTGGGGCTTGAGTTCCACCAAGGATTGGCTGTTTTTTTTTAAATTTGTCACATTGGTGAGTGGCTTTGGAAATCTGGACGTGATTATCAGTCCTGCATGCTGGAAATATTTGGCCTCAGATGATGGGGTGGGGTGTTGTAGGGAGAAACCTCCCTTATGGGAAGGTTAGTCTGTTACAGTGTGGGGGGGTTTTTTTCTGTTCTTGCAACCCCTGAGGTAGCTGGGACTGGTTTGCAGTGCCAGCGACCTTGTGTCTTAGCTGAGCATTCGCTGACTGAGCGAGTGCTGCAGGAATTGCAGCGGGCAGAGAAGCCCAAAGCAGACAACACCCATGTTCGTAGGGGAATGTGTTCCGGGGGCTGGGCCGGGGCATCTGATAAGCGGCAGCAAGAGCATGGTGCTCGTGCTGAACATTCCAGTGAGTTAATGTACCAGCCCTGATGGCTGCCGAGATAATGCTAAAATGTGGTTGCGACTTCATTGGGAGGGTAGGCGGGCATCGGTCATCTCGCACTGACTTGAAATCTGCCGCCTGGTAACAAAGGATTACAGGAGACACTGATGATGCTTGCACAGTTGCCTATTGCAGCCAGGGGCTGGGGATGTCTCTGTGTTAACCCTGTACTCCAGCCTCCAAGAGGATCAAACGGGACCCTCCAGTGCAGTGCCAATCCACCCTGCCCCTGTGTACTGGCTATGTGACGTATAGTCTGTCACGACAGCTTCAATTGTGTCTGAAGATGAGCCTATGTCCAGCCTTGGGCATTGAGGCACCTGTCAGGGGAGTGGGGGAGCAGGGCACTGGGGAGGTTAGAGACCTGTTCTTTGCCAGCCCAGACTGGGATTCATGTGTCTGTCTGCCTGCAGGATGGTGCGGCCGCGGCTGGCTGACCATCTACGTCTGCCAGGAAGCACAGCAGGTGCGGGACCAGCAGCAGCAGCAACAGAAGCATGAGGATGGGGAGGCAGCCAACGTCACGTTCTTTGGTAAGAGCTCTTGGTGGAGACAACGTACCCTTGTCGTGTGCTGCAGACAGGGGCTTGTCTCGCTCCAGCAAAGCAGGGACAGGAGGGCTCAGAGGAGCAGAGCAGTGCTGTGAAGTCAGTGTCATGTCAGCTTGAGGGCCATCAGGGAATTCGATCCTCCTGTCTTTGCAGGAGGCTGAGCTGGGCTGAACTGGAGGTCTGCTCTGACCTGCCATAGCTCTGTCCATGCCAGCCATGCTCGTGGCTACGGAATCCCACTCCTGGCACAATGCCTGTGCAGGGCTGATAAGCAATAGCTCCCGTGAGAATCCAGTGCTGCTGCTTGGATGCAGCGACTGACCTACATTTCTGAAGCAGCCAGTGGCTGTCATTGACACACACGGTGCTGGGAGGAAGCTGCAAAGTCAGCAGGTGCTGCCCTTCCTCTCCTAGGCTTTGCCTGGTAATATCCACAGGGTGCCCAGGGGTGGCTCTGGTCCCAAGGTGCCTTGATTTCGTTATGGCTGACTGGAAATATCCAGGGATGACCTTGTCATACTTGACCTCTGCTTGTTAAACTGGAAGCCCTTTGCAGCAGGGACCATCTTGTCCTGTGTTTTTATAGTCAAGCACCCTGGGACCCTGTTGCATGAATGTGCCATCATATTAAGACAGCTTGGCCTGTCTCTGAAGAGGCACTGGGAGCTGCTTGTAACCACTCCTGTCCCCCTTGGTGCAGTTTACCACGCTATTTATCTGGAAGAGCTGACTGCAGCAGAACTGACAGAAAAAATAGCCCAGCTCTTCAGCATCTCCTCTCGACAGATCAGCCAGATCTACAAACAAGGCCCAACAGGGATACACGTACTGATCAGCAACGAGGTAACAGCCTTGGTTGGGGGACATTGGAGTTGCGGTGACCTGGTTTGTTTGGATTGGGCACTTTACCATCAGGAGCCAGTGCAAAGGATTTTTGTGAAGAGTGGGGGAGTGAGCTGTGACACTTCCCAGCGTTACAAAAAATTGCTTGGAGGCCCCTGTACCTCTGCTGTAGCTGGGAAGTTCAGACGTTGGTGGGGGCTCATTCCACACGCATCTTACAGATGACATTTATTCTTCTACTTATTTTCAAGGCAAAAGTTTTCTACAGCCTTGACCCAGTGAGAGGTGCTCTCCTTGTTTTTCTGATGCAGAAACACCACTCAAGGCTACAAAATCAGCATTGTGGCTGAGATAAAAGGCTAGGGGCAGGAAGCGGGGATTCACGGCTCCCAGTTCTTTGCCTGTTTGTATAAGACATGAACTGCTCAGTGCCACATGTTTTGTAAGATGGAATCAAAGGCTGCATGTGATACTCAAACATGGTATGGATAGGCAGATATTTATGCCGGCATAAATGGTGTAACAAGTAACAGCTGGACTACACAAACCTCTGAAACCAAGGTAACTTCACCCAAGTTGGGGGAGTTAGCCCCAGAAGCGTCTGGATAAAATGCCTGCTAATGTAAACTATTTCAGTTTAGGCTTTATTTGTCCACAGCTGTTGCAGGATAGTAGTATTAGGCAAGCTTAGATCCTTTGGATCATGGTGTACATGTAAGAGGTTAAGTCACAAAGACCAAAGACACATACGCCTAGGTAAGAGTATGGTGGAGGAGTGGAGGCTGCCCAAGACCTATGACCCCCACTTTGGACCACTGAGACAGAATCGAAAGGCCAGACTGAGTCCAGGCATTTAGTGCCTTGATAACTGCAGCTTCTGCCAGAGCGTAGCAGCTAAAAAGTGCTGCTGACTGCCTCATGCCGCATTTCTGTCATGGTGATGTCCCTTAGCCTTTCTCTGATGAAGGAGTATCCACAAGGCAGTGGGGACTAGGGTTTTGAGGCACCCTACACTCATCTTATTTTGGGGATTGCAACATTGTGGTATTTTATAGGAGCTACCCCACCATGAGTAGCCCCACCTCATTGCCACCAGGCCCTTCAGTCGGATCATTTTACAGTCATACCCAGGACCCCGTTCCAGGGTAGACATTTACCAAAGGCAAATTGGCTATTCCCTGCTTCCCTAGCAGCCAGCATCAAGATGCAGGTAGTCTTGTGTGAGCTACCCCAGGATAGCTGCATGTCTGTCTGTTCCTGACCTTGGTGTTGTTTATATTGATACAAACACAGTGTAAATTACTTAGCATGTGTGTATGTCTGGCAGTGCCCAAGAAGCTTGATTCTCACTCAAAGACCCTTATAGCACCTGAGCAGTGCAAAAGGTGCCTTAGTTGCTTTTCCAGTGCAGGAGAAGCGAAGGAGCCATGATATAAGTGAGATCTGGGTGCAGCCAGCAACATGTGTATGAAACTAGGCACATCTCTCTGTAAAGAAGGCGGTGGGCAATCCTGAGGGCTCTCTCTAGTCTTAAGCTCCTGTGCTGTCCAGATAACCCCTGCTTTCTCATGCATCTGAGAACTGCTGGTATGGGCAAGCTAGCTAGCCACATTGCATCTTTGCAAATGGCACAAGAAACGTGTGGATCAGTTGCTTCATGGCATGGACTTTTTTAGGGGAAGGAAAGGGCTAGGGCTGCCTCCTGCCATGACCACAATCAGTGGCGTGAACTGGTTGGTGTCTGAGGCCACTTGTATTAATTAGAGAGGTCTCCAGGGGTGCATCTACACGTGCAATTAATGCGCATGAATAAACTAAAGCTTATTGTTCCAGAGTTTATTGCTCACGGGCATGCTATTTGAATGTGCACCCGGGACCACAGCACGTTGAGCCGGGTTGGAGCAGCTCTGGCTGGCAAGGGGGTCAGCCTGCCAGCCTGGGGCTGCTCCCCCCCAGCTCGGTGTGCTGGGGGGGGCATCTACATGTGTGCTGCTGCAGGGTAAAAAAAACCCTCTGCAGCAGGATAGTACTTGTATTTACAAGCACTATCCTGTTGTGGAGTTGATTAGTTTACTCCAGCCTAATAGGGGCACATGTGTAGGTGTGTGACGTTTACTGCGCAGATAATTAGTCTATTATGCAGTTAACATCTCCTCTAGATGTGCCCCAGGAGAACGAACAATGCTCTGAAAAAGTAGCATGTCTGGGGCATATGAATCCAGCAATAGATGGATGGTTTTGGAAGGGATTTGTCCATTGGAGACTAGCTGCCCTATAGTTTTGTTTTGGGTTTTTTTTGTGATTCTCTTGGTTTGGTTCTTCTGATCCCTGTTCTGGGATGGATGGAGGGAGGAATAAGTTATGTATGGTTGGTTCATTCCATATATCCCAAAGCACTAACACATTGGCTGTATAGCTTCCAGCCCCTTGTACAGTCCAGCAGAAGCCCTGCCACCAAATGACTAATGAGCACATGAAATTCAGCCTAGATCATATATATAATGCAATCTGGTGGACTCAACTGATTTCATGGCTTCTTTCAGATGATCCAGAACTTTCAAGATGAATCGTGTTTTGTTCTGGACACAATGAAAGGTAACTGGCTTTATTCAATGCACTGTAATAAAACAGTGCACATTATTTCTGTTTCTTTCTTCCCACAATTTTCTTTGGGAACCTCAGGAACTCCTCTGTCCAATGACACACATTTCAGCAGCTTTCACTGATCTGCTGGTGCTCTGCTTTTGTTGCAGCTGAAACCAATGATAGCTACCACATCATCTTAAAATAAAGAGGGGGCTGGACTCTGCAAGGCGGCAGTCCTCTCTCATCACATGTGAAGACCCATCACTGACTGCACAGAGACACAGGCAGAGAGATCCTGAACTCCACAGAGTCTTCGCTAAAGAACCCAGTCTGTTTGTTACTACGTGATGCTTTCTGGCAGAGGAACACCCCCCCCCCCTTTTATTTTATTTTTTTTTTTGCTCCTCTGGCATGCCAGCGCACTGCTTCACCTCTGGAATGGAGGCAAAAGTTGGCACATTGCATTGTCATTAGCTGTTGGGATCCAACCCTAGGTCCCGTGACAGCCCGTGTCTGAAGCCTTGAGAGGGGTTGACTGCTACGATGCTTCTGAAGGCTCTCACAAGTGAACTCTTCTGACAAATTGCCCAGCACCCTTTCTGGCATGTGCTGGGCTGAGCAGGTCTCAGCTAGGTGCCCCAGTTGTACTGACAGAGCTGGGGGGTGGGAGGACTCTTAAGCTTTTATTTGACATTGTCTGTTGATACGTTGTAAAGCCGTTATGCTCATCCTCCTCTCTCAAGTCACGTTGATTTTTAGTTCTACTCTGTGTGTGTGTGTGCGCACGCGCGCGCGCATGTTTTGTCTTCCCCTGCCAGTGTCAGGATTGTCAGGAACACTATGCAGACTTGAGGTTTTGATGGTCACTTTCTACGCAGACAAATGCCGCTTTACTCTCTGCTCAAGCAACTTTGCAAAAGGAAATCTGAAGGAGCTAACTCATGGATTGATTTGTTGTTCTGCATGAGTTTTTTTTGAAAAACAAAAAACCAAAAAACTCCTTGAGACTTTTTTTCAGGGCAAAGGAAGCAAAAGATATCTGCTGTATTTTTAATGAAAACATGAGTGGTGTTTTATTAGCATGTTGACTATTTCCCCCTCTCCCCCTGCTCCCCAATCAGCTTGAAATTCCCTTAGGAACTGGAACAGAATTAGACCAGTCCTACGTGCACTAAGAAGGATTTTCTACAGCAGGAGCCTGCGGGGTTTGTGCAAAGCCACGGTGACAAAAAGTGCCTACATACAGACTTTGAGGATGGGAGCCATCGGGCCTCTTGGGTAAAGAATCTGCCTTCTTAAACAGATGCCTGAGCATATCTCACAATGCCCAAAATGAGCTTCCTATAAGGAAATGAGGCTCACATGCCTTATTTGCCCAAAACAACAGGTTCTGGTGCAAAGCAGGTGGCTTTTTAAAAACTATACATGCATTTCCCAGCCCCTCCCTGCCGGCCCTCCCCCAGAGAAGCCCAAAGCAGAAGTGTTCAAGTCAACAACTAAGGTTGCAACATGAAACCAATGCAAAGCAGGATCTGCTGGGTTCTGATTTGCCAGGATGGGGTGAATTAAATGAGTCTGACAATCGCATCACCATGGTCCAAAATAGCTGCTAAGATACTGACTGCTCTTGTTGTGATAAGCCATAAGAGACCTGTATGCAACTTCTGTCCGCCTCCGCTCATTTCCTCCCTCCAAAGATGGCGGGCAAAATCCTTTTGCATTCTAGGCTGTATTTGAAGTGATGTAACTGGTCGCTTCTGGCTCAGAGTTGTCCACCATCCAATGGCCACTGTCTGAAAAGAGCCAGACACTCCTGCCCCAGTATCCTAGCAGATACTGGTCAGTACCACAGTTGGTAAAGATGGCTGGTAAGTCATGTTTATAGGGACATAGTTGAATTTGCTTTAATGCCAAAGTGGCTGGTTTCTCTTGGGTTTAGTCTGAACAAACTTCTAAAAGCTGCTCGTTACTGAGCCTTCAGTATCGTGGGCTTGATGGAAGATAGCAGCCTGCAGTGTCCCTCTCTCTGGCTTTAAAGAGGTTTGGATTATAACCTTTGTCACACTTAATCTAGAACAGAGATACAAATGCTTCTAAAATGGCTGCAGCTCCTCAGCTCATGAAAGGCCAAGGCCTCCCTGTTGTTACGCACTTGGGGGAAAGATGCCAAGAAAAGCCGTGGAAAGCTGGCAGACTTCCACCCGCTGAACAATGACGTGTGCTGCTCCTGATTTGACGGGACTCTGAATTCTGCCTCCAGAGGTGCTATTGTTTTGGCCGCTGGCCTTTTGTATGGATTTTAATACATCCGTGATTGGGCAGGGATGTATATTTTAGTCTTGGCTCTTTTTTTTTTTTTTCCTTTCCTGTTTAGTATGCAAGAAGTGTAATAGCCGATGTACCAGAGTGACATGGACTCGTTTAAACTTTTTGTATCGCTATTTCTGGGTGTGTACAGATTCTTTTAATTAATTCATCATGTTTGGACACAGAAATATAATGGTTCTGGCTGTGTTATTCCTATAGAGCTGCTCCCTCACTTGTGTGTCGGGAAAGGAGAAGCTAGCTTCAATACCACCCGCCTCCCTCACCCTGAAACCTAAGAGGAGATAGAAACTCCTTTGATTTAACTCTTTCTTTGCCCAAACAGCATACCTGAATGAATAACTTGACCTGCTACTTTAACTCAGCTAATCCCTCATTTAATAAGAGAGAAATCGCCACCTGAACTGCTAAATTGAGCTCCTGGTTTTCAGCCAGAAATTATCCAGAGGTTCCACTCTCCTCCTCAGCTGCATTATGGAGGTAAGTGACTTCTTTCATAAGGGGACCACACCGGAAGCGGAGCAGAAAATCCGTTCTTTGTAATGAGGCTCCGGTCTGCCGCTTCTGTTCTCTCTAATGCGACCCTGGCCCTGCTGCCTTTTTTATCTTGTGAAACCCTTCTGAGTATTCTGCTGTATGGAAAAAGAGCATATGTTGTTTTTCCATCCTGCTTTCTGCCTTCCTTTTTAAGATGACTTGGTCATCATAGGATACTTGGATCTAGAAATAGGATTGCAGGAAGCTGAATGCAGGAAATGACCAGTAATTGAGCCATGTCTATATAAAGCTGGATTGAATGAGATGTGAATTCAGTGTTAGCCTTGGCTCGAAGCGCGGGCTGGAAATCAGTTTACTCATAAACAAGCTGATTCATACTTGGTTAACTAGTGTGAGGATTAGATTATCCAACTGCTTTTTTGATCGACCTGCCCTTTGACCTCTTCACAGTTGAATCCAGAGGCTGCAGCTGCTCCATATCTATAAAATCAGGTGGTTCTTTTTTTTTTGCCTATTCCCACTGGTGTTCTGTCCCTTCTAATCTCTTGTCTAGACTTCCCTGTAATTCCATTTCTGGCCTCCATTTTTTCCATATGTTTTGCTTTTATGGTGTTCCCCAGTTGAGTTGCTTGCCTGTAGGTTTTGCACTGCTCCCATCTTTCTCCTTGGGCTATGCTAATGCTAACCATTCACCTTGAAGTTCTGGTGGTAGCACCTGGTGGTTGATTCTGGCATCTGCACCAGGTTGGGGCTGTCTTGCTAAGCAGATTTTGTTGGACTCACCAAAATCCTTTGCAACAAGCTGATTCCATCATCACTTTCTTAAGTGATCATCAGACTCTTGTTGTTTGGCAGCTGAGCTTTCATTTCCCAAGAGCTGTCTGATGGAGCTGTTGCATTCCTCTGCTTGTGTGCATCACCCAGGCCTGTAGTCGCCCTGGGTTACAAACACTAAAGGCTGTTGACCTGAACAAAGTTGCTGACCCAGCACATTGCTATACTTGTGGGGGGGAATCTTTCTTGCTGGAGCTTTAATGACTGAGACTGCAAAAAAATCTCAAGGCCTTTTTTCTTTCCCCTAAGCTGACCTCTGCAGTGCACACACCCCATCCCCTGGACGATGAGGAAACTGCAGGGTGAAAGGCTTGGCTTGTTGGCATTTTTTACCTGCAGGGTCGAGATGGACTCAGATGAGCTTTGGGGTACCGCGGTGCCCCTCCTGGGTCTGCTGGGGGAGGGCTGCAAGCCTTTTGAATGAGTGGGAAGGCAAGGGGCTGTGTTCCAACTCATAAGAGCTGTCACTGACTGGGTCAGACCCTAGGGTTATGGTGCCCAGTCTCCTGTGTCATGTCTCCAGGGAAGAGTTTTGCTGGGCAGTGTACACTGGCTCCTTGGACTCGTGCAAGGGGCAGTGGACGCTGTCTGGTGGGCTTTGCTCAGTGCCCCCTCCCCCCTGGCACACTTAAACCTCTCCCGTTCCTGTTATGTCTGTAGTTGTCCCAAGCAATCAATTGTTCCCTACCTAGTGGGCTTCCTTTTTAAGGGAGGCTTATAGCATTTCCTTGTGGGCATTGGCCCACAGTCCCTAGGCAACCAATAGGCCTGTGTCACGTGTCTGGGCAAGTTTTTGTTGGGCAGTGTCCACTGACTCCTTGGACTCATTCGAGGGCCAGCGGGCGCTGTCTGATAGGCTCTGCTCGGTGTCGCCCCTCGGCACGCTTGTGTTAAACCTCTGACCGTCACTCCCATCCCCGTTTTATCATTTGTCCCAAGGAATTAGTTGCTACTTTCCCAGTAGTCTCCCTTTCTGAGGCAGGGGGCTTATAGTTGTCCTTGGTAAGCATTGGGCCATGATCCTTCAAAGCGGCAACTAGGCTTGTGTCATCTCTTGGAGCAGAGTTTCACAGGGCCGTGTCAACTGGCTCCTTGGACTTGTTCGAGGGCTAGCAGGCACTGTCCGGCAGGCTCTGCTCAGTGTACACCCTCGGGGCACTTGTTCTGAGCCTTTGACCTCTGCTTCCTTCCCTGTTTTCTTGTCACTTGTCCCTAGCCATCAGTTGCCACTTTCCTACTAGGCTCCCTTTTTGAGGGAGGATGGTAGTTTTATTTGATAGACATTGGGCCATGTTCCCTCCAAGTGGCGACTATGCCTGTCATGTCGCTGGGAGTGTCCGCTGGCTCCTCGGACTCATCTGGTCGATGGTCTGCTCGGTGTCCCCCCTTTTTGGTGCCCGTCTTCTGAACCTGTGACCTCCGCTCCTGTCTCTGTTTTGTCCTTTGCTGCCCCACACATTCAATTGGCACATGTGCAATGGACCCCTCAGTTGATATGTCCGTTAACGTGCCGTGATTACGGCACATTAAATTAAATTGAATACCAGTAATAACATGTCCTAACTTAATGTGCTGTAATTGCCGCAATTGCGCATCGGCGCTAACGAACGCTTTTTGTGCCATGCTTAGTGCTCGTCGGACTACTCAAAGGCGCATGAGTGCGATTTGGTTGAATTAGTCCAGTGGCCATTCGGCGTCTGCGCCAGTGCGGACTGATGTTGCCCCAGGGGCCCAAGGGCCAGGACACCCCTTGTGCCCCCAGGCCCATGGGGTGGGGCAGGAAGGGACTACACCTCCCGGCGCCCCTCTCTCTTTCTCCCTCCCTCCCGGACTCCATTTCCCAGCGTCCCCTGCGCGGCCGGCAGTGAGTCCTCCCCTTTGCCCCCCGCTCTTTCCCAGCGCGCTCCACGCCGCCGCGGAACTCCATCCCCCAGTCTGCCCCGCGCGTCGTCACGTGGCCCGGGCTATATAAGGCGCGGCGCTGCGCCGGTAGCCCCATTGTT